CCCCCACCTGTGCCCCTCATATTAATTTAGCATGTGCATTTGTAGTAACTCATAAGTGCAAATTATTATCATTAATAATAACAATATTTATTATTATTATTATTATTATTATTATAAAGCTGAAAGTTTTATCATTTTGAAATTAAGTGTAGGCAGATAAAATAGAATACATGCAGGTGAAATGACATCTACATAACTGGTTTATTGATTATATGCAGCTAACTATTGCCACTCCATTTGACTTTCTAACACCATCCATTAATCACGTCAAATCCAATTTGTTGAGCAACTCCTTAAACTTAAACTATAAAGCCATCAGAATGTCATATTCAATGATTTCTCTATAGCTTGTAATGGATTATTTGTTTACTGCAAGCACAGATAATAGGTATTGGAAAGCTTTCAAATTTTTTGGAATAGAATCATTCAGCTACCTTTTATTCATTTTTAATAGTCTTTAGGGAGAAGAGGTTGCTTGAAATAAAAATGGATGAATTTTCATGCCTTTTTTAGTGCCTGTCGTGATGTGTATGTTTTAACAAATGACACTATCCAGAGGAATTCATCAAACTACTGAATAAGTAGATATCTCTGCCTAATGGTAACATTAAGCTATATGTTCACATGTCTGTATATTTACTCATATACCATTAAAGGAAAAGGTATGTTGATAGTACATCTCTCTCTCTCTCTCTCTCTCTCTCTTTATTAGCCTTTTCTGTCATCATCTGTCACCTTTAGCAAAAAAAAATCTTTGATGTGAAATGGTTGCATGCTTTACTATTTAGCATTTTGTCAGTGCAATATTATGTATGGTGGTCGAGAGTATACACCATTGTGACACAACAAAGGGAATGTAAACTGCTGGAATGGTTTAAAGCGTGAAAGATCTAACAACGGTTATGGAAAATGTCAGTGAACTTCTGATAAATTTAGAATGACTATCACCGATCACTGAAGCTACTATATCCTTTTTAAAAAAAAAAAACTATTTCTGAATTCGTGGCACATTTATTTAGGCTTTTGAGGGGGAGGGGAGTATGACAGTTGGCACCCTCTGAACTAGCTGAAAAACATTTTGAATTACAGCTTTGTGCAGTTACTTCTCTATTATTATCACTGTTTAATCCCAGTCACCAACTATAACCAATAGCTTTAGGGAAAAGATACCTGGAAACAAACCCTCAAATGGCCACCATCTATACAATGGAAGCGTGATCGCTTTCAGCTCCCACAGTCCAGAACTATAATCCTCAAGCGTTTGATGAATATCACTTTTTGATGCCTGCTTGCCAAGCACCTGGAGCTAAAAAAGGCTAGACTTCAGTTAGGGACTGCTAAGAAAAAACATAAATTGATATAGGAAGTATCCTTAGTTAACCAGTAGCAGGCATCTTTCCATAATATAAAAAAATTAAAAATACCAATGCTATAGTTGGGAGGACCATACTCATTGCGGTCTTTAAAGATACTTTACAACAGAGTAGGGTGGTGGTTACCCTGGTACCACAGTTAAACTCCTATTTACAGTAAGTCTAATCATTACATTTTTTATACCTCACTACATTTTTGACTAGAATAACTTTTACAATATAGCACAGAAGCATACTTACGCTGACATACTGACAATATATCTAAGCATTTTGACTCTCGTGGTTAAAATGATTGTACTTTTTGTTTTAGTGGCAATAACAAATTCATTGGAGGAATGATTTGCTTTTGAGACATGAATGAATTGTTTTGGGTAAGTTACAGGGTTTTGCAGCTAAATCATAGTTGTGTGCCATATGCATGAACTGTTTTGAGAAATGCTTTAATGGTCTTGAGAATGCTAAGCATGTTTCATGAAATGTGCCAAAGCAATTGAGAAAAACTGTAAAACATTTGGAAATTTGTATGAAGCAGTGAGAAATTATGTTCAGCTGTGCAGAAATGACATTGTCGTGTAGGGATTACACTTGTTGTTGTGCAAATGTTAATTGTCATTTGAGAAATGTTCCAAAGCATTCGAGAAAAACTACAGCAAACAAAAACACTGTATAACACAAAAACACAACTGAATCCTCCTGTGTTCAGTAGGTTTGCACC